GAGTTCATTATTATGTAGATTTTTTTTTTTTCGTAAACGAATTATTATGTTCGTAATTTAACAGTGTTAGTTTTAACGAAAAAAAAATGTTTTTTTTCTTAATATACCCATTGAATGATCAAACATTATATCTCCTAACATGATTATTATCGTTTAGTTGTACTTTTTTTTTTTTTTAATTCGATATAAAAATATTTATTGGAGTGCTATTATTAGTATTTTAACACCTGGGACAACTATAAAATGTACGTGACGCTACAATTCGGTGATAGAAAACATTAATTTTATCTTGAAAAGTAATGGAAAACGATAATAAAGTTTTGTTTTTTACACACTTTTATTTTAAAAACTTTTTAATACCGTATGCCAAGGAATTCTTTCTGCATACGTGAAGGTACAGTAAATAGTAATGACATTGGAGCTGTTCAAAAGAAGTATTTAATAATGGCGTAGTGTTTGCATTCTATCTAGGACGTACAAACGTGCGAAAACTTTGTCAATTCGAAAATTGTTTTATTTGGTTTTAAAGCTATTTGCACATTTTTATTTAAGTCTAGAAACCTATGCTTTTGGCCTTTGGGGTAATTCCTCGTTGACATTTAAGAAAAAACAGTTGTTTTAGTGTTTTTACACTCAGTAATGTCGTTCACGTACAGTATACTAGTCACGAAGTTAACAACTAATAAACCGATAGATTAAATTAGTGAAATATTAATGGAAACAGTTATAATTTTAATAATGCGTAGGTTTCCAATATTTTTCATTAAAACTTCGAATATTCTGTGTGCGAAGAATAACAATTAAATATATACCTACAGTGTGTAAATGAAGGTTTTAGGAAACCTTCAATTTATCTGTAAATATAATTATATCTACGTGTATCGAAATAATTATATTATAATATCATACCTTAGGAAAAAAGTTATTTGTTCAATCAGAAAAGAGAATTACTCTAAAAACAGATCTCAGTTGTTAAGAATATTCTGACATAAATCAGCCGTCTACTATTAACCATAAATATATTTCAAACACTCATAAAGCTTTAACCAGTCGTAAAAAGGTCTTCACATTTTTAAGCAGTCCACTAATTCAAGAAAATAATATATTTCTGGATTTTCCAAAGGATATTTTCTAGTTGTTGATTTGTACAATATATGAACACTTCAAAGAATATCACGAAAACGTTTAATGTCTAGGTTTGGATGAATGTTCCGATTCTATTAAGTTAAAATTGAAAAATATTAAGCAATAGGTTGGATCGAGAAATATTTAGGTTACTATTAACCGAAACTTAATAATGAATTACTTTTTATTTAGAAAAGAGTAATTATTACAAACATAATGAGTTAATTTATTTTTCAATGTTTTCCGCTACTAAGCAGTTAGGAAAGCAAAAATAGAGATCATCAGATAAAAAAAGGTCGGCCCAATAATATTTTATTTTTATTTAATTTGATTTAATTTGGGGAAGAGATGCGTGTCATCTTCGCCCCTCCCCTCGAATCTGCCCCTGTTAGGTAATTATTTTTTATTATTATATAGTCGTGATAAGTTCATTTTTACATATTATAAATCCCATAAATTTAAATACAATTTATAGTTTTATAGAAAAATAATGAATAATACGTGGAAATATGCATTATTTATAATGTTTTATACTAAATTGTAGATACTGTAGACTGTGTAAATGCATAAACACTACTAGGTATCTACTTTTATATAAATATCAATATACAAAATAATTACCTATCTTTCCCAGCCTTTCCTACTAGTACATAAATATGTAAAAATTATGATTGTAATAAATCATCGTAATCAAATTGACTTTTTTTTTTATTTTGTTACATAAGTAAAATATTATTATGTTACACTGAAACAATCAGCAAATTAGTTGATTTCGTAATTAATGCATGTAAATAACAATATTGATTTTCCCTGTGTTTAAGATGATTGACAGTTTATATATGTCTACGGAGAATTTCAACATAATATATTTGGTAGGTAGTATTAGCTTAACTGTCTAAATCAACTAAAGTGTAATCAAAATGATCAAAACATAATTAAAACACGCCGGCGTTCGCGAGTTTTGCATTTCTCAAATATTCTTTGTGCGAAGTTTAACAATTAAATGTTGGTACCTGTAGTGTGTAAAGGAAGGTTTAGAATGCCTTTCATTTTTCTTGTGAATATTTTAATATACCTACGTGTCCTATGTATATTACTGTAATAACGTCCTTGGATCTTTTTAACATAATTTAATTCGCTAAAAATGGTGTATTTTGTACAATAAATTAGTAAATGGCTATTGTTATATAGGTACGGTTTTTGACGGTTGCATGTCACTCATAGTGTAATTCTCAACAAAATAGTGGACTACTAAACTTTTCAGAAATTAGTATGCGCCAGCGTGTTTTGGAAAAAATTAAAACTATTAAAAAACTTCACAAAAAGGTTTGATTTAAAAAAAAAAAAAAAAACTTGCAAATCCTCGAAAATAAAGATTAATTGAATAGGGTTAAATTTCCGAACGAAAAAAAAAAAACTTCGACTTTTGACCATATTCGAATTTTTTTACCGTAGGTAATCCTATGTAAATATAAGGAAGGCATAAAATATTTAATCCTGTAATATTATGCGTTGATATTGCGAGAAGTTTAAATAATGATTGGGTAAAAAATATATTATTGATTTTGTTTTGACACGGGTGTTCCATAGCTGTTTGTTATTATTAGCGGTATTAATAGCGCATACAAATCAACTGTTGAAGTGTATAATATTACCAAAAATATATAAATATGCAATAATTTGGAAACGGGAAACTTTATACGTGCAATTTAATGTACCTACCCCCCCCCCCCCCCCAATAATTGCGGATTAATAATTAAATACACACTTGAACTTTATGTATAGTTGTAAAAGTTCTTAGTTGTATACATGTCATGATATAAATGTCATTTACAATTTTCGAGTATAATATGAGCACGCGCGCGTTTGCATACGCGTGTGTGTTACCGACTGGCGATGAGACGGGTATCAATGGGTTTTAAAGTTAAGTTGAATAACTGCCAACTAATGGCACGTAGTCGGAGACGTGTATTCGAAAGCGGAAACAGAAAGCTGCAACAAAAGAAAAAACCTCTGGCGGTGGTTAAGTTCCTTCGCCAGAATCTATTTCTTTTGGAACAACACGCGTTGAATTGCATTAATGAATGGAGTGTTTAGACGGAAAACCTTCTGGGTAGCTTTTACAAATTGTCGTATCCATGACATTTTTTTACGTTTAGTAAAATATTCATGAGCAGTGGCGAAGCGTCGTAGGAGACAAAGAGACAATATCTACTCACTTAAAAAGCGACAAAATAATTTTGTTGTTATTGTGTACATTTAGATAAAATATTTATTGTTTTAGAAAGTTCTACGTAACTACCGGGTACTTATAATGATGTTATTATATGAACTTAAAATTCTTCGGTACCTATTATAAGTTTAATATTACCTATCTAAATATAGTCAAGTGTAATCATCTAAAAATGATAAAAACATAATTAATATTAAGTGTATCGGCATTCGCGAGGTCTACGAAACACTTGAAATAAACATTATTTTTATTTGTTAATTTATTTTTTTTTTGTTGTTGGCAGGGTTGCTTAAAAATGCATATAGATGTTAATTTTTTTTTTTTTTTGACACTGTTTAAATATTTCAGTATATATATATATATTGTTCAACCACACCCACGAATAATGGAAATGATATTTTATATTTTTAGTAGTTATTTTTTTTTTTTTTTTTAGATAGAACCATACATATCTTTAATATATAATTTTATATCAATAAAATACTATACGAGTTTAATGCTCGAATACACATTATATACGTGTAAGATATATATTATATCGAATTGAAAATACATTAATAGTATAGTTAAACAATTTGGGGCAATTTGCTTTCATTCAAATCGTTCGCGTAGTCCTATATGTAATACGCATATATAATATATATATATATATATGTATGTATATTTAAACATGTCATGTTCAAATTGAATTCCATTTTCGTGGTTCCTTTGAGAGCTCGGTCTGTGTAGTATTTTGGTGTCTACACACAGGTAATACGTATATTATTATTATTATAATTACTATTGCTTAATTTTTTTTTTTTTTACGCGCACGTGTATAAACAAGTAGGTAGCAAATAGATTCCAATTCATTACCATCTATTGTTTGAATTTCGTGAAATATATAGTAAACTGAAACTCGATAAAACAAAAACAAAAAAAAAAAACTCATCGTTTTCATTTCGTCGGAACAATAATAGTAATAATATGTAATAATATTCACGTACGTCCGGATATTGTTTTGGATTTCATTTGATATCGTTTTATTGCGCTCGTACGACATTTACATAATAATAATAATGAATTGCCGTCAAATAGGGTTCGAATTCTCGAATATACCGACCTGTACGTACATATAAATAACCGTTCGAAACACGCGGTCGTCAGATCTCGTCTCAGAAGTTCTTTCGCGCGCGTCCTCATTACGATGCGATAACACGCAACAAAATTACATTTATAGCATTATAACTTTTTGATATCTGAACGATGTGTAATGATGTACCTATAGTAGAGCGGACGTCATACGCAAAATATAAGCAGGCACGGGACTTTGATGAGTACACTGTTTTTCCGTGGAATTTCATCAGGCACATGCACAAATCAAGATGTATAGATACGTGCTCGAGAAATTCTGAGACTGGTCCGATTGCACGGGAATCGTCGCAGCCGATTCGCCCCGCGACCGTGACGGGCGGGCGGGCGCGTCTTCGTCGGTCGCGCACGACATTCGGTCGCGTGCGACCCGCCGACAGACGGATGGGCGCGCGAGAAAAAAACACGTTACGCGCGCGGGTCGGTCGTTGTCGTCACTACTGACTACTGTCATTGTCATTGTCATTGTCATTAATCGCTATCACCGCTATCGGCGCGGACGGTGTGTTACCTGTCTGGCGAGGTACGCGTGTTGGCGGCCCAGCAGGGCCATGGTGAGCACGTACGTGGCGCACGTGGTGGCGCTCAGGGCCACGCACAGGGCCAGCGTGAGCGGCAGCGACACGTAGGCCAGGTAATCGTAGAGCAGTATCCATCCGAGCAGGTCGGCGCCCTCGGCCGCGTTGGCCACCATGTGGAACACGACCTGGACGTCGGCCGTGAGCCAGGCCAGGTGGGCCACGGCGGTCCAGTACCGGCGCCGGCCGCCGGCCAGCCGGCACCAGAGCAGCGTGACCACGTTGGCGGCCAGCAGGCACCACGTCCACGGCGACCGGGCGTCGTACACGGACAGGCAGTACACGTCGAACAGCACGGACGCGGACACGTAGCACGCGAACGCCGCGCGCTTCTGCTTCGCGTTGTAGCTCTGGTACAGGCTCTCCGTGGCCCTGTCCGCGAACCGCCCGGCGGCCGGCGTAGTCGGCTTCGGCGAGGATTCCATCATCGGTCCGTCCGTTTTCCGCGCGCGTTCGGGACGCGGTGTAATTACGATTTATTCGAGCCGGGGGACGAGGGTGTCCGCAGACGACGTGACGACGGCTACGACGACGGTATAGAGTTACTTACAGCGTAGTGACGAGACGAGTGTGAAAACGAATAAAAAAAAAAAAAAAAAAAAATCAGAAACGGTCCGTCAACACGTCGCGTGCGTGTACGACCGCGACTGCGATAATGATATAGAATAGAGTCGTCACCGCGATAATAACGACTACGACGGTGATGATGATGATGATGATGACGGTACGATCGTTATGGTCGTCATCGCCTGTCTGATTTAAATACGTCGATTACGACAAAATAATAATAATAATAATAATAATAATAATATTAATATTAATAATATGTGATTATTATTGTAAACCGATCGTTTAATTTTTTTTTTATTGCGATAAAAAAACGTGCGAGATGCGGCACGACAAATAAGACATAATACGTATTATTACCTATTATTATTATTATTATTATTGTCGCACGACACCACGGACGCGGTTACCGGCGCGTGTTGTGGGCCCCTTCCCCCCGACTGTAGCGCGAACGCGTGCGTGGACCTGAGCTTGGAGCCGACCGATAGACGACCGACACACTCGTCGCGCCCGGTGCCACTGACGGACGAGACGCTACCGTCGTCGTCGTGCTTTCCGCCGCCGCCGCCGCCGTAGTCGTCGTAGTAGTCGTCGTCGTCGTCGGCAGCGGTGATCGTCGCGGTCGCGGTCGACGTCGTCCGCGTACAATCGCGGCGGTAGTCACACGGTCCGAGTCCGCGCGCGCGCGTTGGCCGCGCCGCCGCCGCGAGCGCGTTCTGTGCCGTCGCGGTGCGTGTGTGCACCGGTGTCGCGGCGGTGTGGCGGCACCGCCGCCCGCCGTCCCGCCCGACGCCGCACCGTCGGTTGCTGCTGCCGCTGCCGCATAACGAGCTCTCCCTCGCCCGACGACGCGCGGCCGCCGCAGACCACACCGATATCAAGCGTGCGCGCCACGTACGGCCTGCTCGCACACACGCACACACGCACACACGCACACGCACACACAGCGTCACGCAACTGAACCCAGCGGCTACCGAGCGGTGT